TAATTGTGTTTTAAAAGGGCCCAAACTGAAATGAAGTGAGTTATCAAACAACATGCTTAAATTCTCCCAAAGCAACATCATTTTTGATTCACAGCTCTTGATTTATTTGTAAGAATTGCCATAATTTGGAAAGAATGAAAAAAAAATAATTCTAAGGTTAAAAATAAATTTTAAAAACCCCATCAAATTGCATAAAGGAGACACCTTTCTCATCCTACTTTCCACTGGTTTGTGTAAGGCTAACTACACTGGGGAAAAGGAAAGCCCCGCTCCTTGAAATGTTGGACGCAGGACCAAGCACAGCCCCCTTTGAGGAGGGTCAGCCTTCCTCCTCACGAGGAGGATGTTTAGTACTGAATGTGCTGCTCTGAACAAGCTCTGAACAATAGAAATAACTTTTAAGCTGAAAATGAAAGAGAAGAAGCTGCGGTATCCTATACTGATTGCCAGTTATGTTTCTGTCAGTGGGAGTTTCACAAGAGACTGATGAAGCCAGGATTAGACCTTTGATCTGTTTGCTTTGGGTATTAGTGCCCTCTGGCTCTATCAGATCAGGCTGATCTAAAAGTTAGATGGAAACATGGGAGAAGACCTAGCAAGTAGCGTTAAAGCCATCCACAAGTTCAGCACATCTTTATCCTTAGCAGCAACCTCGGGACTAAGAAAAGGGGTTTTGCGAGACCTGCTTCTCAACTAAGCAACAGCGTCATGGTTGCATGATTAGGTGGATGATGTGGAAAGTGGTTTCCTAATAATGAGGGCGATTAGCAATCGTGCAGAATTTCTTGAAAGAGGAAGGATGTCTTAAGCTAATTCTAACCTGCGTAATTTCCCCTTGAGCCCTCAATTCCACATAAACGTTCAACCACAAGCAGTGTCCCAGTCGCCTCATAGCCTAATTCTTGTGACCAGTGGTGTGCTCCATTGATCCTTCAGCATTGTCTGGCTCTCTACACACCGTAGATTATCCATTGTGACAGTCCATGCCTTGGGTTTTTCCAAAACCTGCTTGATTGGTGAGATAAAAGTGTAAAATACTATTACTGCAACAGTAGGATTTTGTTGGGAGTCTTGAAAAAAGATAACAAAAAGGGTATGGGGTGAGCCAGTTGTTTTCTTGATTTTAGAACAAAATACAGAAAAAGTGAAAACACGAATAACATAAGGGTTTGTTAAACTAGCCTAGAGGTGAATAATAATTTAACATCTTATCGTAAGATCTTAGATACCTGTTTCCCTGCTCAGTGGATGCTCTATCCCACATTGCCCTCTAGCGAGGACATTTCAGAGCAAATAATACCTTCCAGTTTGCAGCCACCAGGATATGAAATGTGGTATTTTAATACCTGAGGGCACGGGTTGTTGGCTGAAGTGGTGGTTTGCCAGGTGATGGGGATGGTGAGAGGAAGGGCAGCATTCACTTGCCGCAGGTGCAGGTGTGTGTACCTGCACTGTCCGCAGCTTTCTTGACGTTTGCTTTTTGTGTGAGCTAACAGCCTCTGCAAGTATCTCCCTCCTGCTGCTGCATCGCTAGCCAAAGGTCCCTGCTCTCTTCTGCTTTGGAAAAAAGGGAAAATGTTCCCCTGGGATTTTTTTGGTGAAGGATGATCTGTTTTCCGCATTCTTTGTCTTACCCTTTGCTCCGTGAAACACACTTCAGTTCTGTGGTTTTGCCTGTGTACCCACGGCCTGACAACCCTGCCCGTCGTTTGGACATCATCATGGGACAAACTTCTCTCCCTCTTCAGCCCGTACTGGTACACCCGAAGGTGTCGCCTGGTCCTTGTCCTGCTCCCTGCTTAGCCCCATGAGCCTGCACTGGTGCCACATGATGATTTTGGTGTGTTCCCAGTTCTCCAGAGCTTTTAAACACCTACAGAAAAACATCAACCAACAACAGTTTGGGGTTTTTTTTTAAAAAAAAGGAAAACAACTATCTGCTGCCTGTGGAGAGTACATCATGCCTGATTCATCCTGTCCTCAAGGTGTTAAACCAGCCCTACAGTGACCAGAGCTGCCCTCTCCTGGGTTGTGGGTGCCCTGAATCAGCTGCCTGTTGGCCACGCAGGCGTTTTGCTTGCACACACATGTCCCATCAGGGTAATGGCACAGCAGTTCAGCAGCCCCCTTGGCTCCTTGGTGGCTGTGGGAACCTGTCGCAGCCCAGGATGCTTTGGTGTCCACAGCAATCTTCCCTTGGAGAGGGTCATCCCTGGGGCTGCGAACCCTCAGACAGCTCTGGAGGAGCAGGTTTCTCTGGCAGTGCCCTCTGCAGTGCTGGGTACGAGGGCCAGGGCTGAGAAACCAGAGCTGGAAAAGAGGAGATGCTCAGGTCTGCTGGGGTTTTCCTTCTCCTTACTCCTTCTGGGGTCGGGAAGTAGGAGCAGAGCAGCATCCAGAGTCCTGCTGAAATCCTAAGGCTTTTCATCCAAAACATGGGCTCCATTTGTCACTGCCCCAGGCACTGCTCCAAGCAATATGAGACCCGCTGTGTCCTTATGTGTTTGACCATAATTACATAGACATCCATAATTAATGTTCGGTTATCAAAGATTAACCTGGTCTTTGATTGCCGCCTTGTTCATCAGAGTAGTAGCCATGGCCATTCCTCTGCTAGATGCTGTCTGTTTAAACTCTTTGACTAAAAACTCAGCAGTTTTAGAGCAGTTTGTTCTAAAGTCTGTGATTTCTTGCACGCAAACAGCCACAGGGCGCAGCCTGGTTGCATGTGTGGGTGCAGACAGCACCCTGCCATCACTGCGGTCCTCCCGGGGGCTGCGGGACCTGATGATGTTTGGGGAGTCGGGGTGGGCTGTGCTGTCACCCAGCCTGCTCCACATGGCACTCAGGGGTTGAATGGCAGACACTAATGCCATCTAGTGACCAAAAAAACCGTGCTGTGGATGTTTTATAAAATGTTAGGGCAAGTTTTATAGCCCCAGGCGAGGCAGGCCGTGGGGCTGGGAAGGAGGGAGATGCTGCTGGGTGTGCCGGGAAGAGAAATCTCTTTTCCCTGCTCTCCCGACCTGCCTCTTCCCTCATTTCACATCCCACAAAGTGCTTCTGCGGGTGTCCGGGGGTGGGGATGTCCCACGTGAGGTGTTATAGATCCCTGGGGGAGCAAGGCATGGGCTTCCTAAGTGGCTCTGTTGATCGAGGAGCGCATTCCCTGACTCACTGCTGGATCGTGGAGCACAAACCCAATGCCTGGGGACAAGGGGACTGCGGGAGTGGAGGTGGCTTGCTCCACTACTGGCGTGGACATCACCTGGGGACCAGTTTAGCTGGCGGCATGGCATGCGACACGGTGCCATTGCTGCAGCTTTGAGCCGAGCTGAGACAAGGAGAGAGATGGCAGATTCTGCCACTGTCCTGACAGCGGTGACTCGCGGCTCGTATGACCTAACACTTTTTTCCTCCCACCACCTTTTTTTCTCCCTCTTGCTTCTGTAGGTGATAGCCGGGAAGGCATTAACGCCCGGCGTTTCGGCACAAGTGGCTGGCTGGAGACTCCGTTGCTTTGTACCTGGTTGTTAATCCAGCCAAGTCACAGTGCCACAAACCTGGAGGAATTTGTTTGTACTCTGCATGTTAAAAATAAAGGTGACGTTGTTTCTGACCATACCAGCTTATTCTGCTTGGCTAAGCTGTCGTCGCAGGTGCGCTTTGCCTCGCATAGGGCCGATGGTCTCCTCGGAATATTATGCAGCTTTGATCATTTCTCCAACTCCTGAGAAATGCACAGAGAGAGAACTTGGGAATTAAAAGTTTCCAGTTAAGGAACGTGAGGGCTGAGATAGTGCTGATGAAATACATTACAAATGTACCGAGATGCCAGGCAGCACCCCCAGAGAGATTTGGAGAGAGATGTGGGATGTACCCCACTGTCGAAGGAGAGCAAGCAAAGCACCCAGATGCGAATAAGCTCCTTCATGGGACATTTCTGAAGTGCGGCGGCACCAAGACTGGTGCTGGCACAGGCTGGCACATCCCTGGCTGAGGGTCCCGAAGAGCCGCCCCCTCGCCACACACACGGAGCCATCAGCAGCGCTTGGTCCCAGAGTGAACGAGGAGTGCTGCGCAGACCTGTTCGTGCTTTTTTCGGAAAGCTGTTTACAAGGGTCCTTGGGGACTTCTTGTTGTTTTTCTATCCCAAATGTAAAGGTACCAAATAAGTTCCTATTTTCTAATTTACAAGTGTTTTGTGTTATCTTTGCTGCTTCTTTTTCTGGATTATCCTTGTGTCCCCCTGCTTTTCTGCCCTGGATAATTGAGGGTTGGCAGTGTGCCTGCAGCATTCCTGTTTCAGGGCCAAAATGGGAGTGAGAATAAATGCTTCTAAATATTGTGTTGAAGCGAATAAGTAATTTACTTATAATGGCTCTTCGCCTGGCATTTCACTGGCAATTTCACGCAGGTTTTGCAGGAGGAGTGAGCAGTTGTGAGAGGTTGGAAGAGCTGTGCGCCTTGGGGAATATTTGCCGTGTGGGTATGGCGGGGAGTAGGGCTTCACAGATTTGGAAGAGTGCTCCTACTTCTGTAAAGGGACTTCATCCAGCAGTATGCGACAACTCAGCATTTTATAGATCTGCTGGCCCTAAATTCTGCAAATACCCCTGCCTACCAGGAATTTAGCTGGAAGTGGCAAAGGTAAAGACTTCCCTGTGAGGAGAAGGCAGGTCTGCTTTACCTTGTGCTTTTGGGTAAGACATCTTTTAGAGCAGCCAGCCAACCAAAAGGCAGTATACATCCACACTGTCTTCTCGGCTCAGTAGAAATCTTTCAGCATTATCACGGCTCCACCTATTCTTTTTCCTGAAGAGAGATGGAAAAGGAAAAAGCATTTATGGTGCTTTTTTGCCTGAAGCACTCAACACAGAGACATATTCCTATCTATTTGGCATCAGCATGGCAATAGTATCTTGCAGGAGACAAGCAGAACAACTTGCAATGAATAACCTGAGCCTAGTACTAATTTTCTGTTTTCTCTCTCCTTGTAGGGATCCTGTTTACGATGCTGGTATTTGGACCAGCCTGTGGATTTATCTTGGGCTCCTTCTGTACCAAAATCTACGTGGATGCTGTCTTCATTGACACAAGTAAGGAGAAGAGGGTTTGGTTTCCAATCATGTTAATGTTGTATCAGCAGGACAAAAATGTTGATTCTCACAAGCTGGAAACTACTTCTCATTCCATCTTGAGCACCTCTTGCATGTATGGGTGTCACCTTTAGAGAGGTTTTATGGCTGGGATTTAAAAGTTTTCAACCTGTCCCAATAGACAGCAGGTTCATAGTGGCTAAAATTTGTTTCCTTCTGTGGGCTTTTCTACTGCGAGATGAGTTTCAGCCCAGCTCTTAGAGGACACCTGGAAATATCACCATGGCAGGACACACTGGCTAGCCTTGGACATAGGCCTGCCCGAGGAGCTGTGTCCAGAGCATGGGGTGAAATCTGGAGAGCTGCCATCCCCAGGACCTGGGAGGACCATCCAGACTCTCTGATGGAGTCACACCAGTCAGACCCGTATGACCCTGTTTGGACGGACAAGTTCAGTCCCACAGCATTGTTGCTTCTTCCTAAAGCAGTGCTAATTATTGCTCACCTGGAGTCTGCCCTTGGGTTAAAGCAAATTGCAGATTGCCTTTTCGTTTATTAAAAAAATCTGCCAATTCTGCTTTTATTCCTACCTGCACTGTATGCTCTTTGCCATTAGAGGGCAATGTGTAACAGGCTGTTCTCCTCTGCTCCCCAAGCCCTTTGGCTGTAGCCTGCAAACTGACGTTTCATTCTTTTCCCTCAGTTGTTCAGAGCCTTTTCTACAGTTTTCAGCTCCATCTGGTCCCACAGGCTCTCATCCTGCTGCAGGGGTGTTGTCGCCTTTCAGGGTTCATTCCAGTTCTGTGATGTTGCAAATATATCTTCATAGGGTGCGTTTGGATGGAGTTGAACTTTGTAGGACTCAGAACAGAATTGTGCAAATCTGGAGAAGTGCTACTGGCCTTTTTTGATTTTGCATACACATGGCAGCTGAAGAAACCTAAATAATATCGAACAAGCAGGAGAGAGGTATCTTTTTTGACGGCTGAGACTTTTAACTGCGGCTTGGTCAAACACCACATGGCCCCTTTTCATTCCTTGGCTTTAGCAAAGATATGCCAAAGACTCGCTTGGTTCTGTAGGCAGAGGAGCTTGCTTGAACCCTATCACATATTTGACCATTAAGTATAATTCACGCCGAAATATGAATGTGCAGAAGATACCCCTCACCACAGCGTGTTAAAAGTTTGAAAATGGGTTCAAAAACATTGGACAAGTTTATAAAAGAAAACACGAATGAAATATCAAATCTAGCTTAGAAAATCCCCAAGCCACAAATTGCCAGAATTAAAAGGAATAATGTCAGGAACATAGTGACCTTATCCTTGTGTACTTGCTGGACACCTGCAACTGGTTACCATCAGAGGCAAGATGCTGGTCTAGCTATAAAAGGGAATTTCACTGTGATATGGCCATTCTTAATATAAGACGTGACTCCATATTTACATCTCAAGAATCCCCAGACAAATACGGAGCCACGGAGGGGTGTTATCGCTGAGAAGCCTGGAGGGGCGGTGGCTCAGCAGGCCACAGGGAGGGTATGGTGCTTTCCAGCTGCAGGTCCAGCTGGCTTTGGCCGTGGTCCATCACTGCCATGTGAAGGCTGGGGCACGCGTGGCCTTGCATCTCAGGGTGGCCTGAGGAGTCCAAGCTGCAGAGGGTGAGCCCTGTCCTGCTCCCCATTTTGGGCAGGAGGTGCAGGGTGTCAGGGCATGCTGCTGCACTGCCCTCCTCCGTGCGGGACCTATTTTAGGAAAGGGGATATGAGGAAAACCTTGGTTTACATGGCTCTTCATGTGGCTGTGTTCCCAAGAGCCTGAAAAAAATGCGCTTCAGGCAGGAGAAAATAACAGCAGAAGAATCCAATCCCTCCAAAACACTATTTTTCAAACTTTATATATATTTGAGAGCTACGTGTTATTTTCCCTAAGGAGAAAAGAGTTTCCTTCCATCTCTGCTTGAGAGACAACTTGATTGCCTCACTTGAGACAGATTTTTCAGAGTGGCGGTAGCCAGGCAGACATCAGGAATGGAGGAGCTTGTTATTGCAGCCGTGCGGACCCGGGTCTCCCCCAGGAGTCAGCTCCAGCGCTGGGCACCCTCCGCTGCCTCGCACGAGGCGGCTGTTAGCAACACAGTTATTTTCTCCTGCTGCTTATTTTTATTGCCCCCAACTGACTCCAGAGCCTCCTTTTTCCTTATCTCCGCTGAGCGATGGCCTACGGAATACTTTTGCCTTTTACTTTGCTCCTCATTTTCTGATGATTTCTCTGCCCTTCTGAGCCCATTTGATGCAGTGGGTGGGTTTCTTTTCCAATATTTAGGACTGTTTCACCCTCCACATGGTCACAGTTTCCCATAAAGCTCAAATGCCCATCTCTCCTGTGCTGAAAAGGGCTGTGAATGCAAAGCAGGGAGAGCACCGACCTCCTGAAAAGAAAAAAAAAAAAAAAGGGTGAACCAGGATGGAGACGCGATGTCCTTGTCTGTGCTGCTTCTTCTCCATGCACATCTGTGCTAGTAGGTATGTCAGGTGTGTGTGCACATTTGGCACACTGGGACAGTGTCCAAAAGCCCTGTGCCAGCATATGGGACACTGACAGGTACGTGGCAGCTTCCTAGAGACGGCAGAGCCAAAGACACTGGAGAGAAGCTCTGATGACAGGGTGTTGTAGAAGACACGTGTACCATCTAGATAGACAAGGTTGCTTGTCCTAAAGACCTCTTGGATGTGGAGGTTGTTATGCACTGGTGGCTCACACGGTACAGGTATGGGATGCACTGTGGGTCTTCCACCTTGTGTCTGGGAGCCCCTCACCAGCCAACACAGCCCCCAACAACCATCTTACAGCCTACAGGGTCATTAACTCTGTTCTCTTCCCCTCCCTGCGGCAGAGACACTGATGGTGTGTGTGTGTGTGTGCCTTGCAGGTAAGCTGGACATCACCCCGGATGACCCTCGGTGGATCGGCGCGTGGTGGGGAGGCTTCCTGCTGTGTGGTGCCTTACTCTTCTTCTCGTCCCTGCCGATGTTCGGGTTCCCTCAATCCTTGCCCCCACGGCCGGAGCACGCTGGGGAGAGCGAGCAGGCCATGCTTCCCGAGAGGGACTACGAGAGACCCAAGCCGAGCAACGGGGTCCTGCGGCACGCGCTGGAGGGGGAGAGCAGCACGACCTGCTTCCAGCAGCTGCGAGGTGACACACTGGCTCTTGTCATGTTTTCTGTGAGAGTCAGCAACAGGTTAACAGCTGGTTGGATTTATAATTGGTCTCTGATTTGGGATATCTACCTCTACCCCCAAAAAAAAACAACCCCAAAAGCCCTCAGTGTCCTGGAATTTCAGTGCCTAGCTTCTAATTATCTCTGGCATTGTCCTCATTTTAAAGAGAGACTTTGTTCCACTTGAAAGGTTTGGGGGTTTTTTTAAACTACAAAGCCGCAGAAATGCGCGATAGTCCTGTAGAGTTGATTAAAAAAAAAATGGAAGGGGAACACAGTTGCCAAAGCAATTTGTGAACTTCTCTCCAGTCTACTGTCCTCCTCCCCTCTGCATCCCGAAACGGAGAGCAAACCAGCAAAGGCTGTTAAAAGAAATTGGGAGCTCCCGGCATCTGAGCTGCAACTTAGTGCAGTCCCAGATACAAAGCAACGATGCTGGGCGATGCTGCAGCTCTTAAACTGGGATGCAGAAGAGGTAGATACCAACCCAAAATAGCAGCAAAGTGGCAGGGCAGAATGTGGCTTTGCAGCAAATTAGACTGGAAAACCCCATGTTGTGTCCTGCAGTGATGGAAATGGACCTGGCTCTAATTAAGGTCAGTTAAGGATCTGGCATTTTGTGGGAGAGTGTGGGCAGATATCCTTTCCATAGGCTGCACTAGAAAAACCTTCATCTGTGATGGTGGCTCTGTAGCACTGGTGGTTGCTTCCCACTCTCTGTCACTGTGGCAGAGTGGGTTTCATTACTGCTTAATGCATTTTGATAAACGAGGACAAAATCACTTACTCTCTGTGCAGTCACCTTAATTGGGAATTGAATGAGGTGCTGGTGGGAAGGAAAAAGACTTCGAGGAAAAAAGTGTTTGCTTAAATATAAAAATGCCTTGAGTAGCTGATGTGGTTGTTCGCTAAGGGAAGGTCAAAAATGTGAAATTTTGACTTGGTGAGAAAATTCAAAAGAAAGGTAAAGGGATAAATTGTTTGAAAATTTGTCAGTAAAATTAATTTCTTTATCCTTGTTGCAAGGATTTTCTCAGGTTTGGGGGATGGGCTTTTCCCATGGTATGTCAATCTGTATAATTCTGTGGCTTTTGTCGTGGACTCATCAGAGCGTTTGCTTCTGGCCACTGAGTTTTTGGAATAGGCACTGGAAATTTTTGCAGGTTTTCACATAGAAAAATGAAAGAATATGGTGTGTCTCTGCTGCACGGAGAGGCAGCAGTTCTGCCCGAGGGCAGTGCTGAGCGAGCTGAGTTTCTTGCACTCAAGGAGGCTGTGGCGGGGTTCCTACAGCATCTATTGCTCATCGAAGTAGAGAAATTAAACTGCCACATCCATATGCTTCAGAGTATTGATTACATCAGGAGGCACCACCGCATTCCACGTTAGCCCTCTCATTGCAGGTAACCCCATTTCACATCAGTCAGTATTCCAGAGGTCTCTTTGTAGATGGACTTTGAAATACAATTTACATCACATCAAATAAGACAGGGAATGACCTTTTTAGTTATGCCTTTGAGGCTGTCACAGACGACACGGTGTTGGTAGCTGACATCTCCTTTGAAGTCCCTTGCCGCTATTGTCACAGTCGGAACGTGGTCAAGAGTCATGTTTGCTCAGGTGCCCGCCTGGAGGAGGAGATGTTTGGACACGTACCACAAGTGAAGGCAAACGTGCCTCACGAGCAGTGTTTAAAGTGGTGGGTTGAATCTTGCTGTGTATATACATTATTTTGCCAGTAGCTGAAAAATATATATGCATTCCTATGTGGCAGGACCTTGTGTCCTTAATCTATTTGTTGATTGTATAAAGTTTCCCGTGGAGAAAGTTAGACTGTGTAGCCTTTTGCCTAGGATAAAAAGGACTGGTAACTATATACAGAGGTTAAAAATATATTTGTGCATGCATAGTCGTGTCTTCTGTCCTATTACGGGCTTTGGGGTTTGCATGTATTAGTGAAGCTGAACAGCAGAGGAGGTACCTGTACATGGGGTTGGGGATGGAAATGCTCATCGGGGTTTGTGTGGCCATAACTCTGACTCCTTTTTAGCAAGTGTTTGTCTCTGCAGTTTGCTTCTGGGCAGGTGTGTGCCAGCCGTAAGTCCATGTCTGCGTGGAGATGTGGGACTGTCCATCTCTTGAGCACAGTGTGGGGAGGAAGAGTTGTTTCTCTGGGCTGATGGTGTGAACACACTGTGCGTCAACAGTGCATCCTTCGAGAAGCTGAGCTGAGTCTCCTTTTAGGCTGTTGGAGGCGTTTGATTATTTTTTATTTTATTTTATTTTTTTCAAGCCTTGCAGTGACAGTTGCGAGTGAGTGGATGTGGCAGGAGAGGAAGCGGGGTGGTGTTGGTTGGAGACACGCTCCCAGCTGGGTCACGGCTGTCAGCTGGCGACACGGCCTGGCTGGCACCTGGGAGGATGCTCGAGACGCTACAAGATCTGCTGAAAGGCAGTGAGATGCAGGGCTGGGTGAGATTCCGTGGCTTTCTCTAGCCTTAGCACACAGAATAGTTAGGACTAATATAAAAGCAAGCTGCTCAAAGTGTTGAAAGGTCTTTTACATCTTTATCAAGGTCTAAACAGGAGGGAGGGGACAGCTTTTGGAAAACCACGGTGCCTCTTCTCATCGGGTATCTTCATGCCAGGAAAAGAAGCATCCTTAAGAGGAGGTTCGAACTTGAAACGAAAAGCGTGCCTTTGAAGGGCACGAGGTGAAGAGGCAATCAAAGGCAGCAGCGGCGGCGGCGGGTGGCTGCAACGGCAGCTCTGCGCGGGGGCATGGCTGCTCGGGCCGGAGAGCTTTGGGACAGTCCTGGGAGGTGCTTAGCGTTGCTAAACTGGCGTATGAATGCTGCACCGCTTTACCTGATTAGTATTTCAGTTAAGCAGCGCAAATTCACTTGGGAGCACAGGGAAGTAAAGGATTAATAGCAGGGAGAGGATGGATAAATGCTGCCGTTGCTCTTTGCTGTCGGCTGGCAGCCTGGCAGGGTTGTTCCAGCCCTGTACTCCCCGTATGGTCTGTGAAAGCCCTCAGGCGTGGGCTGTGGCAGTTCTTGCTCTCCTGGAGGCACAGCTTTGCTTTCCTACCTCTGGTCTGCCTTGGGGACCTCTCTGCCATTCGGGGCCGGAGACGATGCTCGGCTGTGTCAGGGCACTGTGCCCTCTGCTCGTGTCTGTCCGGCATCTGCCCTCTCACTCGGTGTTAACACGCTGCCTCTAACCCACCACCTGCTCCAGGACGTGCTTGGAAATATTTTGTTCAAATAATTTATTTTTTTTTCATACAGAAATGTCACTGCTACTGAATTGAGCGGTCAGTTCTGATGAAATTTGGTTTCAGAATGCTTCCTTGGCTTTATCTTTAACACCCCTGAAACATCCTGCTCTAAATGCATTTTGTTTTGCGATGATTTAAACCAGAAATTCATTACATTCTGTCTGTCTAGCGAGAGAGATTAAAAACCTAAAAGGATTGAAATTGATATGGAATCCTTCAGGTTTGGAGAGAGAAGCTCATTCACAAGGTATTAAAAGAAAACTCACTGTGGAATTAAATGAATTTCAAAACTGCAAATTCCCTAGATTTGGAAACATTTTGGTTCCTGTCCAGCTTCATTTCCAAGAGTGTAGGAGAGCTGGGTTGTACAGCTGACAGCTGTCTTGTCTTCTGTTTGATTCCTTCCTGCTCTGTGTACCAATCTGCTGAATACCTAGGGAGAGGGCTGCTCTCAATCCTGGATTTCTCTCCCCAAAAGTGCTCGCCGGGAGGAGACACGTAGTGCTGGGCCAGAAGCTCCCAGCTGTGCAGGGGAGTCCTGGGCCGTGGAGAGCCTGTAGTCTGTCCTTGGTGGGAGTTCATAGGATTGAGTGGGTTTAATGGCTAATGGCTAGTTTTAAACTCATAACTCCAAAGAGTGATAGTGACGATGTTCTGGAGAGGGCTTCATCTGTACCTTCATTCACAGCCAGAGTGGTGAGTCTTTGGCCCAGATCTAGAGGGTATCAAGACCTTAATGCCTTTTTGGATTTGGGTCTTGGCTCCCTACCAACATCTAAAAGGCTTGCTAAGAAATCCTAATCTTAAGTAAGGGGATGGTGGGTGATCATTAAAGGCCTGGTGATCATCATCAGGTCCTGTCAGTCTCCGAGTTTCCTTTGGCTTGGATTTCTTGAGGGTGCGGGCTTTGTTGGCAGGTTCTTCTTGGCTATTTCAAAGCCAACATCCTTGTTATCGGAAGCTTTGATTAATTCAGAAAGGCCTTCAGCCTGCATGCTTCAGGGCAGAAGCTGAACAGCAGCTGAAGTCAGGCAGAGTGTGTCTGTCACCGCAAAGATGCTGTGCCTTGCCATGACCTCCATGACATGAGTGAGGGAGGTTTATGTCCCCCTCTGAAGTCGAGCAAAGGTAGTTGCTGGAGGCAAAATGATAGACTAGATGGGCCTGCTTTCCATGCATCAGAACATTATCGTTGCTTCAAGCTCATATCTGTCAAGGAGCCTTTTTGACATTGGTGTCATCCTATTCCTTCATATCCTTTGTGATACTAATTTTGTCAAAGCCGCGTGGACTGTGGCGTATTAAACTCACCTGAGAGATCTTCAGCGCCTCTTGCCTTACTCCATCTTCTCTTTTATAGGAGTTGCCTCTTTCCGGGAGGTATTTTCTTCTTGCTGCCTGCACTATTTTCTTCATCCTTTATTCCTCAAGCCAGGTAGAGATTTTGCCTTTTGTTTTCTATTCAGATCTGAGGCTTGCTGCCTACGTTGCTATTAGAAAGTAGTATTTTGGCTCAACGCTACATTACATCTTTCCCTCACCACACTGTCCTAGGTGGACTGGGCTGTAAACCTCCTTCTAATTTATTACTTTGCTTTCTGTGTTCCTCATCTTTACTGCAAATTGAAAACATGCCTCTGTAGGGTGCTCCAACTGGCAAAAAGGGGCCTTGGTGATTGTAACGTTCCAAACAATTCATTTCAAGCACCAACGTGATGATTATAGTTTGTCGTTTCTGGAGAGTAGTTAAACCTCATGTAATGAGGTTGCCAATTATCCCTGGTACTCCCCGATGTTAAGTGACAAATCAAAGCTACTTGGTGTACGTAAGTGTGTTTGCTTGTCAAGCCCATGGCCTGTCACCCACAGCTGGCCCCAAAGCAGGAGATAGGGAGGGTGCTTGATGCCTTGACATGGGTGTTGTTTGGGGTGTTCAAAGGTGGCAAGTTGAGGGATTGGCAAGGGTGTTGGAGAGCTTTGGGACATCCCCCTCTGGCCATTCCAACCTATGGGTGATCCTGTGACCAACGCTGCATGTGGATGGTCTGAAGAGTTGGGTTTTAAGTACTTCAGCAGTGAAAGGAGGCTGAGGTTTCTTGTTCTTCTCAGTGTGTCTTGCCATGGCAATGAGAATCGCTTTTCTGCTGTTGTTTCTGCAGCGTGTTGGGTGCATTGCGATAAGGATGTTAAATGAGCTGGTCCTTCGGAGTGTGGGAGGGTGAGTCTTTCTGTGCCATGTCTGATACAGCTCATGGGTTCTCCAAGTAGGTTTTTGAGACTCTTTTGAATCCAAAAGACGTTTCCCTTTTCGCATTTGGCAAATGGGCTTCAACCTCAGATTTATAGCTACAAAGTGCTGCTACAAAGTGTTCAGCTAACCTTTGGGCCAACAAGGTGCAGGGTAACGTTTATCATGACTCTTGCTGGGATCAGCTCCAGTGAAGAAGCGCCATGCTTAGCTGTTGCGTTCCCCAGGGCTTTACTGTCCCCCATCAGACATTTTCCATTCCCCCTTCATACCCAGCACCATATGCCAGGCAGCTGAAAGCACGTCACTCTAGTCTATTGAGAGACTTTTAAACTTCACTGCTGACTTTTATTCTTGTTCCCAGAGGTATTTCACCCCAAGAAGTGAGACAGATAAGGCAGCAGCAGGTGTCAAATGATTCATCTTAACGGGTAGCAGTAGCAAGATGAAAGGATATTCATTTCTATGGGGAGCCTCCTGTCATTTCCCTTAGAAAATGAAAGGGAACGAGCTGGCCCTGGCTGAGAAGATGGTGGAGGCTGCCAGGCACTGCCTGCATTGCCTCTGCACAATTTGCACTGGGTTTTGTGTTATACCCTCCAGCTGGTACAGAGTCCTGTTGCAGTAGACAATGGTCAAACATGCAGCAGAGGACAGGATCTGTCCCAGAAGGCTCACATCTGGACACACAGGGAGGAGAAGCAATGATGAAGTGATGGGACTCGTAGCCCAATGCTGCCAGACAAGGCATATCACGAGGGCTTACTCTCCTGTGTGAGACAGTGCGATAACTTCAAAATTTTTGCTGTCCATCCCCAAGTACGAAGGATGGATTTTGACCTTGGTAATGCATGATGGTTGGGTACCAGCCTTGCCAACTTTGGAAATAAATGTCCATGTTCTGTAACTCCCTCCTGCAAAAGACAGGCTGTTATTATTATTATTTGGTGGATAAAGTTAGAGGTAGACCTTTGTCTCTTTGTGTTTGGATTGGCACAAAGCTACATCTCAAGGAATCCATTAATCTCAAACAAACTGAACTCCAGAAGCACAACAGGCATTAATACCTTAAATATGGCTTTTCAAGCTCAGCGCTGCCAAATCCACCTTTGCATTTTCCCTCCTTTTCCTGGCAAGAAGGGGAAATTCTGTAGGTGGCCACCAAAGAACTGAAGGAGGCAGCAGGTGGCTTCTGAGATCTAGCCACGTCTGAATTCCCCCACCCCCGTTCCTCCCTCGCAGTATTTTTTTTTCCTCTTCTTTTTTTTCCCTGTTCTACTGAAAAATACTATGCCTCCTGCACCTTCATTATCCAGCAAATCCTCAGGAAGCAAGAATTTTATACATTTGGGATATAAAGAGACCAGAAGCTGTGGAGTGGTCCCTTCCAAGGAGGTTAAATCAAACCTAATTATAACCCTCCCCCCCAAAAAGAACCAAAAGGACCCAAGCAGAACCTGACAAAGAGCTGTGCATTCACTTGCTGAGGCCAATGCAATTAGATTTTGCACCAAAAAAAGCCCTAAGGGAAAACAGAAGCCAACACCAGAGAAACCTGTCATCTGCCAGACCCTGGTACACCATAGGGGATGTGGGGGATGGATTTTCAAAATGCAAATAGGGGTCCATTGAGGCTTCACTACACTTCAGCGAGGTAATTTTCAAACTTAATGATTTTCACATTTAATTCAAGGAGAAATTAGTCATCAGGTATTGAGACAAAGCAAGGCTCTCTTCTGTACTGGGATGCTCTCCTCTTCAAGCTGTGTTATCTTGGCAATAATTAAAATGTTCGCTGAAGTAGAAAATGTGCTATCTGATTCATTAGCCAGATTTCCCTTTGTAAGGTAACTCGTGTTTACTTATCGGAAATAGAGACGGGCTTGAAGACGAGGACTCTGGGCGCTAATGGTTCGGGAGGGAGGAGACAAGGGATCATGAAACTAAAGCATGTGTGAGCTCAGCATGTCCTCTTCCACCCTTGCAGCCACCAAAGCTGGTAGGGTCTGCGCGGAAGGCATTGCTTGCCTGGTGAAGTTCTGGGCTATGGAAACACACAGGCTAACATGCCTGTCGCAGGCATGAGGTCCTTTAACCCATGGGTGGCTGTGGCCCAAGGCTAAGGCAGGAGAATTTCAGCTTGCCCCAAGATGTGCTGCAAGAAAGTGTCACTCAGTCAGTGTTACGTGGGAATAAGAAAATGAAGCAAATTTGGTTGGCAGGAGAAGGAAAGGCCAAGTGTGAGCTGGGTTAGCTTGTGTCTCAAAGCTTGCAAGAATTTGTGCAGCTCTGAGTATAGTACTCATGACACCCATTGGCTGGCTCGGCATTGTTCGTGGGGAGTAGGCAGGGAGAGGAGAAGAAAAAAGAGGCTTTGATTGACTTCCCTATGGGGGAAACAAAAGCAATACTGGAAAACACTCATCCTTCAAAATTTCAAAATCATCTGTAAGATGTAAACATAACAACGGGTGACTTCTTTTGATGATGTTACTCTGGTATTTCACTTTGTTCTGGTGTTGCCACATTTCAACCAGCTTGCCTGTGCAGAGCAGAAAATTAGTCCTGATTTGAAGTGCGTTTGTCCAGCAGGAGAGCAGCAAGGCACCTCCAGCACCTCAAGCAGAGCCTATGCAAAAACACCTCTCCGTTTTTCCTCTTTTCCAGTGATCCCCAAAGTAACTAAGCACTTGCTCTCCAATCCCGTCTTCACCTGTATCATCCTGGCAGCCTGCATGGAGATCGCGGTGGTGGCTGGCTTCGCCGCCTTCCTGGGAAAGTACCTGGAGCAGCAGTTCAACCTCACCACCTCATCTGCCAACCAGCTCCTGGGTGAGTAACCACAGGGCCACCAAATCTCCAGCACCCAAAGGCACTTACACGTGTTCAGCCAGGCTGGATGGGGCTTTGAGCAACCTGGTCTAGTGGGAGGTGTCCCTGCCCATGGCAGGGGGGTTGGAACTCAATGATCTTCAAGGTCCCTTCCAACCTAAACCATGCTATGATTCTATGGTTGTCGTTCAAATGCCCCTTCTCTGACCATGCTATGCTGCTGCGGTTTCCCATATATATGTATTTCTCAACGTTCATTCATTCCCCGTCAGGACACTGATGCACAAGTAGGTTCTTCATTTATTTTCTCCTGCTGCCCATTCCCAAGCAGGCCCAGCAATTTGTTTGACAGCCGGTCTCTCGGCAGCACCCAATTAAGATATCTGCAAGTTGATCTTGTGTGATCTGCAACCACAGCTCACCAGATGGGCAGCTGGCAGTGATCTGTCAAAAACTGGGACATCATGAAGTGGGTGGATCTTAATAGCACAATAAGGAGCTTGCAAGCTGCTCTCCTGACAGTTATTTATTTTCCCATTGAACTCATTGATATCTTCTAGTTTTGGCCTGGTTTTCCAAAAGAAACAATCCCCTGTAGGCAGTCTTGTGTCCCTCACAGGAACTCACTGGTGAATTTTAATAGGATTTGACAGAAGGACAGAGGTCCCAAAGATGTTAGGCTCTTCCATCTTTCCTGAAAGCGAAAGGAAAGCAACTTCACTGTTGACCCACTGGGAGAAGGCAAACCACTACACTGCTTGGTGAGGGATGCTGGCCAGTCAGCACGTGAGTCCGGCCGGATGGTCAGCAAAGAGGGTATCACCCGTGAGCCTGAGCACGTCCTACTTCTGACCTAGCAGTGGGAAAGGAGGCTTTGATACATCTATGGTCCTCACAACAACTTGTTTAATTTAAACAAAGTTGCTACTGGATTTCCCACATGGCATTTGTGGGAGTCCAGAAGTGCCAGGATTTGGATGCACTTCTAAGCTTAGCCCAGGTAGGTACGGTCTGGTGTGTAACTGGCAGCAAAGGGATAAAGGTAAACCCAGACAAGCTTAGTGTGATGACGCCTTTCTGTGCCTGGAAAGCGACTCACTTCTGGCAGTGATTTTGTATCTCACAGTTTTGGAAGATTCTTTAAGGGAGGCTACGTGTTTTCAAATGCAACTATTGCCTAATCTCTGAAGATCAGACTGCTGTGAAGTATACCAAACAGGGCTCATCCAAAGCCTCTAGACACCTTAGAAAATTCTTTGCTTTATTTGTCTGTGAACTGTTGCAGAAGGCGTTAGAGATACCGCTGTTTAGGTTAGAGTGGGTCAGCCTCAGCAATTTTCATCTCCCTCCAATACGAACGATAACTGGAAGGAAACCCTGGTTCCTCTGTGCAAGGTAGCATACTTGTTTGCATCCATTCCTCACTTTTTGGGCAACCTCGGCTTGGTGCTGCTCCAGCAGTTGGTCACTAGAAGGTTTCCCCGTGCTAGCGTACAGATCTCTCTGCTGGAAAGTAAAAAGCTGTAATGGTGTGGTTCGCTGAGCCTCGCCCACACGTCCTGCTAACTGATTTTTCCTCTTGCAGGGATGACAGCAATCCCGTGTGCGTGTCTGGGCATATTCCTGGGTGGCCTCTTGGTGAAGAAGCTCAGCCTGTCTGCTCTGGGAGCCATCAGGATGGCCATGCTGGTGAACCTGGTGTCCACAGCTTGCTACGTGTCTTTCCTGTTCCTGGGATGCGACACAGGACCTGTGGCAGGGGTTACTGTTCCCTATGGAAACAAGTGAGTCCCCAGAGAGTTCCAGAGTCTCATACAGCCTTACCAACATTAATGCCATGTTATTGTCCTCGACAGGCAGCGCTGGCCCTTAGGCAGCCATATAGAGCAAGAACATAGAAGGCAATGACGTATAGGGCTCTTAGTTTGGGCTGTGTTCGTGCCACTCTCTGCTGTGAGAGTTGAGTACCTGCAGCTGACAACAGAATTTTACTAAAATCGATCAAACTGAATTGAAAGGTGCCAGGCCTGATTCTGCACCCATGGCCACCTACGTAGCGTTGGGGCCTGCTGCACCGTCTGGTTTCTCCTGGCAGCAAGGGACATGCACTGCTTTGTACATTTATTTAAGCGCCTGAGGGGAGTTTTTAGAACCAGGTTTTAGATGCCTGGAAATTCAGATATGGTGAGGAGGGAGTATGCATGGCTCCGGGCCCCTTTTGATGGGAGAAATGAGGCGTGTGGTGCCCTGTAGCATTCACAGGGCTTGAAGAGAGTTACTCTGTATTTTCTTTTCTGGTGCTCCTCAGTATGCAGTGGCGATCTTTTTGAAGACGACGGCTCTCAGCTCCTCACGGAGGAGTTACTGTTCTGGGAAAAAGCAGCTCAGTCTCCCGTGGCACATCTTTGGATTTCCTTGGGGAAACAAGGCAGCCCAAACTTCCCACTAGATTCCCCGTTGCAGAAGGATAGTAGCCCGTGGCATTTCTGTCCCCAAGGAGAGGCTGTAGCCTGGATTTCTTCAAGCTGGGATCCAGAAAGCCTGCCCGCTGCTTTTTGTGATTTGTTTGCCGTAACTAACACCCTCCAAAGCCATCTTTGTGTGGCGCTGATTGGCAAAGCTGGCTGCTCTCATTACACTGATGGCTGATACCGTTTCTCTTTCTCTTACAGCTCAACTCCAACCTCATCTCTGGACCCATATTCCCCCTGCAATAACAACTGTGAATGCCAAACTGATTCCTTCACTCCAGTCTGTGGGGCAGACGGGGTCACATACTTATCTGCCTGCTTTGCTGGCTGCAGCAGCACGGTGAGTGCCTTTCCCAGGGACCTCTCGCCTGTAGGAACGATTCTGTGAGCGCGAGCGAGTGAGGTTAGTGTGTATCTGGTAGAATAGCTCATTTACAGCCAGCACTGGTTATAACCCCAAAGACTAACCTCATACCTTAGATGGTCCTGAGCCACTGTCATTTTTCACTCTGCCAGGATCACCCACAGAGCAGAATGGGATTTCCCATCCTCTTCCTCCTCCTCTGGTCTTTCTCCTCAGCATGAAAGCAAGGAACACGAGAGGAAATCTGTGCAGTTGTCCACTGACAGAACCCAGATCCTCCACGAGAGCTCGCTAGCCCAGGCTGTGGGACCAACTTCTCTTTTCTCCTGCAGCAGCTTATCCCACCACTTCTCCACTTGCCCGTGTTTGCCCTGCCCAATCCTTTTACTCTTTTTCCTCTTGCGCTCTTCCTGAATCTGGTTCCTAGACACGTATGACCGGATCCTGGGTTTATTCACCCTTGTTTAAGCTTTCCTTCACTCCTCTTGCTTCTCTCTCTTTCCCTGCCTTGCTCTGAGGCAGCAGCAAGAGCAGTTGTAAAGGGAACAGAGGCTCCATCCAAAGACATTCTGCATTATTCAGTTCTCCGTATCTAAGAGTTTATTTCATTTAGAAAATCCTTTAAGACCAAACCATCTCTGTGTAAAGAAGATGTGGGGAATTTTTAACAACATCTTAAAAGCCTGCTTTTCTATTTTTTTTCTGCTGAAATGCTAATGTCTTCTGGGTTACGCTGAAAACAAGTGCCTGCTGCTCCTGTGGGTGGGAACTGGTGGGTTCCTGCGGTCCTTGCTCCCTACCCGGGGCTGTGCCAGGCATGGTGACCGCTGCCTCACTGCCTTTGAGGAGCCTGTGAGATGTCAGCCTGGTCGCAGTGACCGTTCATGGCTGCAGGAACGTCAGCCTTCACCACAGGCGATTACCCCTCCATGGCTCCATCCTTCCTTTTTGAGGAGACATCAAACCTCCCTTCCTGCCCTAAAGAGACAAACCGCCTGCGAGTGCCGGTGAGCGGAGGTGCAAGCAAGGCTAGCAAGTGCAGCCTCACTGCCCAGATGACCTGGGAGTTCGTCCTGCTGAAACCTTCTCTCTCCTCAAATCCCACTCCACCCTTGGAGACATAGGCATCTGTTTGAAATATCACAGTTCCAAGGTGCTTTCAGCAACCCCACGAGGGACTCCATGAGTGTGTGGCACATGCAAAGGTGTAACCTTATGCCCTGTTCCTCCTTCTCCTCCCAAGAAGAGACAAGTCAACACCTGGGGCAGCACAGGATCATTTTAACAAGAAACCAGCTTGTACAGGGCACACAGAACAGTGTCTCTAGCCAGTTCACCGAGCCCTTAGCAAGAGTACAGCCGGTGCAGTCTGTGGCTGGAGTGCAGGAGAGACCTCCTCCCTGGGTGGTTCAGAGCAAAACTCTGGCTCCTCTGGAAGGAGCGCAGTAATGAAAATTCAGCTCTGCCCCTTCAGTCAGCCGCTGCCTGACCTTGTGCTCTACAAGAGCAAACCTCTGAGCAAAAACTGCGCTCTCCCTCACCCTCTCTCTTACTCATTCTTTCTTATTGTTCCTTTTCGTCATCATCTTGGGGTTCTTTTCATCGTCTTGTTTTGTGGTTTTTTTCCAGTAACGTTTTGAACACGAATTAGTGAAGTGATAGCATCCTCTGGAAAGGGCATTATCAAGAATTATGGACCAGTTTGGCCATGCAATGGCCCTGAGGCAAAGCCAAATTGCCAAACCAGGTTTTAAACCCATAATCCAGGTAATGACCTGTCTAGAGGGTCTTGTGAATGTTATATGCTTGTGATGAGCCAAGGGTTGCTTTTTACTGGGACATAAAATTCTCTGAATGCTTTATTTAACTTTACTGCATTGGATGTTTCTGACTGCCTCTCTCCGCATTTCCTCTGTGAACAATTTCTAAAAGCAGTGTGTAGCTCCGTTCATTTTTTCTTTTTCATTTCTTCTCTCTTACTGACCTGGTTGCAGAGCTGCACCTGTCCAAAAAGCCATCGGAGTATCGGTGCTGCTAGGCAGAGCTCTGGCACTCTCGGGAGTTTCTCTTTCAAACCATTCCTGGGAGTGACCTTTGCGTACGAAGCATTTGACCACGCATCTTGTTTGTTGGATGCCATTGCTTCTCTCACCCTTTTGGCTGGAGACACATGAATTCCAGGCTGGCGTTTCCATGCTGGCATCTCACGGCTTTACACTGAAGTACCAGCCTGTCCCTTCCCTGTCAGAGCCAGGGTTTAAAGAAACGAGCAATTAAAAACATGGGTAATTTGCGTAAATAGTTACCCCAGACTCAGGATGCTGTTAAAGGTGCAAACTCTGCATCTGTGCAGTTTCACATGCACACAGAAAATCTGGTTGTGCAAGCTGCTGGGCAGTGGAAGGCTGTGATAATGTGTGGTTGCACGCGGTGGGGATGCAGACAAGGGAATCTGTAGCAATTTAGCACGGGTAACAAAATTTGCCTCTCCGCAGGACAAAGGTAAAACTCCATCTTTGATGTTTCCTTGTTTGATGTCTGTGAGTTGTATAGTGTGTCAGTAATAAAAGATCAAAGATCTGCCAGGTAAGGATGAGGTGCAGCCCTAAGCAAGCAGGTGTAGTTGGTACAATCTGCTCACACTGCTTTGGGTTAGCACTGTGGCGCAAAATGGTCAAAAAAGCGGATTGAGGGGCAAATTTTCAGGTAACGGAGGTGGGGACTTGGCTCGTGGTTTGTAAAAAATCACACCAATGGGAGGAGAATCTGCCCCACCGTTGCCAGAAACAGGTACTTTCTCTCCACTGATGAGAGTCCATGGGAAATAAGCAGCCAGTTCTGCATGTTTTCCACGATAGGAGTTTTGTCCCAGGATACTTCAGTGCAGGTATGTACTTTCCTGGACTTAGATGGGTTTTAATCCACAGGGCTGTGTCCAGGTTGGTTGCTAGCAACGCACTGCGGTAAGAGCCAGGGACTACAAATTCCTGTTGTCTCCCTGCAAACACCACTGCAGTGGTGCTAATTGTCACCATCTCGAAGCCTTCAGGTGGCAGCTTCTAACTCAGAGCACAGGAATTTGTTATGTTAATTATTGCTTGCTAGCCAGAAAGGCACCTGCATGTCTACTCCAGCTCTCCTGGAGTTCTGCACTGCGGTCTCTCTTGCCCTCTGTGCACTTACTTGGAAGAAAATCATTTGACTCCTATGCAGAAGAAAGAGATTGGTGTCAGAAAGGCTGGAGTGGTATCCCCACGGATCCTTATCTTTGGAGGCAGTGAACCAGAAAGTGTGCTTTTGTACGGTCCTGAGGGGACCCCAGCGGAAAAGCAAAGGAATTTCTGCTTGAACGTGGTAGTGGGGAAGGGGAGGAGAATTAGCTGTTTTTCAATGTTTTATTTTATGGCGTTACTCCTCTTACAGACATGTGACCTGCAAACCCAGCAGGCTGATGAAGACAAGCCATGAATCATTTATGATCGTTTCGTTCGGTATTCGTTAAGGGATTTCTTGGTAGTATTGTGCGCCTTAATTGCACTTACACCCCCCACTCAGAAATTCAGGAGGGTGAGTTGAAAATAAGGGGGAAAAAAAAAAAATCCCTAAATCTGTGACTGGCAAACAAAGCTCCTTTTCACATCCTGCGCTTGCTGGAGAGACCAAAGAAAAATGCAGTCATTTCGCCCTCCTTCTGATCACATATTGATAAAGTTTATCTCGCCTGACTTCAGCTTTTAGCTCAACACAAATCCCTCTGAACCAGATGTCATTTATTAGCCTCGTAGTGCACTTGAGTCCAGCGGTGTCTGTGCTGGCAGTTCAGCTGTGATAGTTCAGCTCTTGGTGAGCCGCAGCACCCATCGTGGGTGGCTCCTTCCCGGGATTCAGGGTGCTGGAAGCAGGCACCGAACCCACAGCCAACAACAGGGCTGCAGATTTGCCTGCTTTTAATGTACTTCAGTTTAATTGCAACAGCCAAGAGGATGGAGGTAAATAACAAAGTAATTAGAACCATAATTTGGGGATCTTCCTTGTCGCAGGGACACAGATCGTTTCTTTATTCTCCTCTGAAGGGGTATAACTTGGTAATAATTTTCTCACAGTGACATTTATGGGAGAGACTTGAAAGGAGCAGAAGAAAAGAAACAAGCCAAGGGACAGCTTTTCCTTGCTGGTAGCATGCATCAGAGCTGACGAGCTTCTGAAATCCTTTCCAAACACCCCTCAGATAAGCACAAAGGAGTTACTCAGTTGACCATTAGAGGACTCAGAGTTGCTGTTGGCAAAGCCCTCATCACTGAGGGCAGGTAGTGGGGACCACGGCTCTTGCTTCCCCTAAACCCCTGTGCTCCTCCTCAGAACCTCAGTGGCTGTTCGTGCCTCACCTCGGTCCCTGCCGAAAATGCCACCGTCGTTCCTGGCAAATGCCCCAGTCCCGGCTGTGAAGAGGCCTTCTTGACATTCCTCTGCGTGATGTGCGTTTGCAGCATGATCGGGGCCATGGCGCAGACACCGTCAGTCATCATACTCATCAGGTAGGACCGCTGCCGGGAGGATGCGATGAGCTCGCTTGGGGCTGCTCTTGGGGTGGGAGCAGGGCTGGGGGGACCATGGGGTACTGCTGGGAGCTGCAGGGAGCCGAGGGTCCCACAGAGCTCCCGGCCTCTGCCTTTTTGGCTGAGTGTCCCCGTATCAATGACTTTTTGGTTCTGTGCATCAGAAAACCCTCCTTTGAGCACTCCCTGGTGGAGACACCTTGAAAGAGCTGCCCGTATTTTCAAAAGATTTTGAACCTCCTCAGCAAATGAGGAGCTACGGGCACAGACTTTCTCCTACGGTACTGCCTTTACATGCAGGCAGGAATGAAAGCCCGAGCAGTCCTGCCTGAATTTCAGCCCGGTTGTTTCAAGTGTTAATTAAATAATTTCTTCTCTAAGCCACTACTTCGGTTGGTAGCACCTGGTTCAAACATGGCATGGCCCCACCAAGTTCAGTGCCTACAGCACTGACCTGCAAGAAAGAATACGGGAATTGCTCAAGTACAGCTTTGGTAAAAGGGGAGTGAGGAGGTACTGGGTTTGCACACAGAGAAGATCCCTGCAGGGATGGTGCAAAGAAAGGTGGCAGGCTTGTTCTTACCACGGCTGGGATTAGCATAGGAAGGGAAATACAGATGTGCAGTTTCCAGTCCTGTCAGTAAGGATGTTACAGCTGCATCAGGAAAGGGACAGAATTGCAGCCCCATGTTCACAGCACGTAATGGCTTAGTAAGATACCTTTAGAGATGGTCTGGAGATCATAGAAACCATGGGAAAATGAAAGGCTGCGGCATAGGCTAGCTTTGGTCAATAACCCCCTGGCTAGAGTTTAACTTCTCTCACCCTGGACCAAGTCCAAGAACAGAAAGAACTTGAAAGTCTGAAGGACATCTCTGAGTTGAACCAATATGAATAGGTGGGCAAAAGTAGCTAATTCAAATAACTGACCTTGTGTTATTTCCAGACACATGGAACACTTCACCTTATGATATACGTATATATCTAAGCCCACGTTTATCCAGAATTACTTGTCTGTCCGGGCTGTCACTTACTCAGAATAATAACCAGAGGCATAAATAGCAGATCCATTCTGCTGCCTGAAAAATTCCAATAAAATTCAATCAATAAGGTCGGTTTTAGAAACACACTCTTGAGTGGATCTTGGACAGAACAGCTCTGTAAGGGCATGTCTCCCTGCAGGATACAAAATGAGATATTCCACCTACTAGTTCGTTTCTCTCTTTGCATCTACAGTAGCTAAAGGGAAATCAAATTTCTCATGATAAATATTGTGGCAAAAGTAATTTGAAGTTTGAAGAGTACTTTGTTCAAGGGAGCTGCCAGCACCTGTAGGATCCTGAATGGAGACGTCTTGATGTCGACTTCAAATGAGATAAGCCAGTCGCCAGCCAGGAAGAAGAATACAAGGGAATAAGAAAAGCGAAGGGAATATTAAAAATATTCAGTTCACAGCTGTAGGAAATAAACAATTCACACATCCAAATTAGTAACTACACTCCCCTCAGAATCACTGATAGCTACTAAAATGTACAGGGAAGAGTGCTTCGCTGTAGACTATCTCATGTTCTCTTGCAACTGCCATCTTGGCTTGCTAAAAGACAGTTTTGGCGTGTGTGTGTGTCCCTAGTGTCCATGGCAGTGACAAGTGGCATCAGCAGCTCCTATGGTTAATTTAAAAATGAACTTCAGTCTCTACAAATCAGATGTCGTGTCTAGGCAAGCCATTTCTTCACTGCTGTAGTCAGTGAGAAAAGGAGATGTCTCCAGGTGGCAACTTTTAATCCACCCTAAAGTATGGGAATTCACTTTGGTCTTAAATAAAAAGGGCACCACCACGGATTAAAAACCCACTGTGAATATTTCACATAATAATCTATTTTTTCCATAAAATAAACTTTAATGCTCCTTCTGTTTCCTTCATTTCCCACCTAACTGTAGCGTCCTATTTGAGCCAAGCCATTAACCACTGAAACATTTTTTCCAAGGGCAGATACTTCCTGGCATAAAGGCTTTATATTGAGCCTGGGGGTCTGCCTGAAAACCCTGCTGAAATTCATCCAAAGGTCGCAGGCTTCGTGCAGGAGTCATGGTGTGGTGTTAAGTGGCCTGTGTAACGTGTGACATCGGGCAGGTGATCAGAATGGTCTTTTCTTAACTTAAAACCTATTATTGACTCTGGCTGTTTTATCGGTATTGTCTGATGCCCCTCCAATGTATTTGTATGAAGGACCACCACTGCCACCATGGATGCCACGAGCAGTGCTGCCTGCAGACCTCTGTAAGGAGCTGGTGGAAGAGGCAGCTGAGGCATTCAAAGTTCCCCTGTGTGATGAATCTGTTCATATGGGGATCACTGTCCTGCTTTCCCAGTCTTTATATACTGTGGGAAAGAAAATGCTATTATAAGACTTAGGACCAAATTAACGATTTCTGAAATTCCAAAGGCTTTGTTGAGCCTACCCCAAGAGGATGACTTTAGCCGGTAGCATCTTTGAGCTAAGTGAGTTAGAAAGCCATGAATTATTTTTTAAAGCACCTTTGAAGGATAACACTCATGCGATAGAGTGGGTTGTGTTTGTAGCAAAAGGCGGTGCAACTGTTGTCTTCCCAGCATGAAAAAAAAAAAAGCATGCTAAAATCACGCCCCTGAAAAGTAGTCTTCTTGAGCACTTCCTGTCCTGATTTAACAGGCTGAGTGAACCTTTTGGTCCCTCATCCTTGTTCTGTTGGATGGCCCCATGTCTTATTCCCAGTAGTCGGGGAAGTTTCAGAACCAAAAGTTTTCTCTCCTTCCAATTCTCAACATCTGCAGCCTTGAAAGCATGATGGGGAGCTTGTAAATGATGATGTACTGGGATGGGAATTTCATTTTTCCCCATCCGACGACAAGATTAGCTGTTGTTATTAATGACTTAGCTAAATTCCCGAACCTATCACCGACGCAATTACTTTTGGGGCTGTAGGCAGTTCAGGCGAAGGGAGAAGAAAAACCCCATTAATGACTTTTTGAAGAGGTGGTGGTGGCATCGTGGCTGACAGCACAGAATGGCCACAGGGTGTGTTAATCAAAGCAGAACAACAAGAATCGATTTCACTCTTTCTTTCCCTCCCTCCCTCCTCCCTGCAGAACCGTGAGCCCCGAACTCAAGTCTTACGCTTTGGGGGTGCTTTTCCTGCTTCTCCGTTTGCTAGGTAGGTATAAAAATTTCATGTCCTTCGATCCCATCCTTTCCTCCCTCACAGAAAACTGTATTTTTTAACATGCAAAAGTTGAGTTCTACTCCACGCGGTGCTGTGTTTGTCATGAGTGGGGTCTGACACAACGGGGTCTGAGCCCTCTCCATGAAGGATATCACGCCAAGGCTCCTGAAGGCGCTTTTCCTGCCATTTGAATTGTGCTAATGGAAGAAAATGCGGTGTTGCATGAGAAATGACCGTTTCTGCCATGGTCCCACGCAACCAGTTACTCTTCTATAGCTGTTATTAACATGTCAGCAGCTTGCAAAATTACTGCTGTATTGCGTATTGATGAAGTAGAGGGATATGTATTTTCATCCCCCTTTGAGGGACAGGACCTGTGTTACATGGCGTGTTTGTCCCTTCGTTTGGGTCTCTTGGAAAGGAAAACAGTAAAAGGAGACAGGCTGAGTCCTTGTATCCTCCTGTGGGTTAATATCCCATTAAAATGCATACAGCTGCTCCTCTGGACCAGTATATACTTCTCATGTATGAATTAAAAGGAACACGCCAGGTTGTTGTTCACCTGCTTCTTGTTTCTGGGTGGAGGTTTTTTTCCCCTTTTGAAGAGATGGGTCCTATTTTAAAACTCCTGTATTTCAGCTCATTAATTTCAGCGATTCAGGGAAAAATCCTCTGATCCATCATTGTGTGGGTCCATCTCATGCACGGGATTTCGGTGTGGTGTGGGGGTGGAATTCACTTTTTTTTTTCTATCAGGGCATGGGCAGTACCTTCCCTGCATGCCCTCCAAGTCTCAAAGGAATGAGCTGGAGAGTAAAATGCCATCTCCTAGGCTACAGCAAGACACTAGGAGGTACGGGACCAAAAATCCAACAGTACCATACATTGCTTTGAAGAAGTGACTTCATTTATTTACATATTTTTTGTAACACCTTATTCCCCATTAGTTGAAAGGGAAACGGTGGTCCCAGACCTGTTTACGATAAAACCGATTAGATTTTCATTGCTTTTGGTGAAGTAGCTGCAGTCCTACAGAAAGGTCCATCAAGTATTCTTATCCAGAGCTCAGATAGCTCAAAGGGAAGCTTCTGGGTTGACTTGGGTCAGCTCTGCTTCCAGCCTTGCAAAGACAGCATTTTCTTTAGCTGTCGGTGCTGCTCTCGGATTTTGGCCTGTCTTCAGCTCTCGCGGCATGAACATGGAGTGTCAGAGTAGGCAAGGGTACGAGGGGGATGGCTGTGGGCTGTTGTTTCCAAAGGAAGAAGTACTTCAGGGGGGAGTTTTTCTCTCTTTTCTCTTTTCCTTTCAAGAGAGAGAGGCCTCCTGAGATAGTAGCATCTTGAATTCCTCTAAAACCAGGCTCAGACGTGTGTGCTTAAGTTGAATAGATCTTTTTTTTTTCTTCCAATAAAGAAGCCGTAGTAAGAATTTAAAGTCAAATCTTTATGTCTTGCTCTGTCACTGAGGAATTCCCATGAAATAAGACGATACATCCTGAAGCATATCAGCAACGTAGCTAGAACCCGCAGAAAATGAAGAGAGGTACTTTTCAATATGAGCAAGGGTATCCAAATCTTGCCCTTAACAACCTGAGGTTTGAGAATAGCTTTACTGATTTATTTTAAAAGCTTTTCAGTTCACCTTTAAGCTTTGACTTAAGAAGAGAGAGATAATAGCTGTTTCTTGAACCAAAGGAGAGTATTAAATAGAGGAGGTATGAGACCCAGAGGTGCAATCGTAGCTAATAGATTTCACTAAGACAGAAGCAGCTTTTTTATACAGCCCTACAGTTTCTGCAATGAAATATATATATATAGGGGAAATTTTTGCAACACTTTGCAGTGAGAGGTAAAACATGATTGAATCTCTTTAATATTCACTATAATAACATGAAACACAACAGAATTCATCCGGTATCCTCCAGGATGTATTATCTTATTCTGTAGGAATTGTGCTGTGAGAGGGCAGCGTAACAGCGTCTTCATATAAAAGCGTTACTGCAGTTTCTTAGAGAAGAGGGTAAAGCAGTGCTGTTGGAGCCAAAGGTTTGGAATGGAAATATCTGGAACGGCAAAGAGCTTTAGACTTGTAAGATACCAGACACATCCTTTCTGGATGGTGGTCACTGTGCATCCTAGCAAAGCCTCCACTTAGCAGGGCACTTCCTTTTGTGTTTCCTACGAGTCCATGTTGTTTGCCTCTCTTCTTCCAACATGACAAAAACAGTGTTTCTCTCTCAGAAGGACTTCCCAATCTGCAGTGCAACCCCTCAACTCCCTTGTCTCAGAGGGTCTAGGCACCAAGTTGCTTCTGTGAGTCTCTTGTCCTCTCCTCTGGTAAAAATGACCTGAAACACTGACTGGTTGCTAAAAGTTTTCCATATATTTTTCTTCAAGGTTTCCACATCCATTCCTGCATTCACAGAGGTGTAGCTTTGGAGTGAAAACAGGTCCTTCCTCAAGTCTTATGAGGAGCAATTTCCAGGCCAAATTATCTTGAAAACCTGGAAAGCTGGCTGAAGCCAGCAGATGGGGGTGATAGCTCTTTCTGAAGTTCAGCCTGTGCAACTCCAAAGCTTTGTATCAAAATCTCTCAGCACGGTAGCAAGTAGGGGCTCACACCTCAAAATTATGATCCAGATGCAGTTTTCCCATAGTCCAGAAAGTGTGTGTCTCTTGCCTCCTCGGGCACTGCCACGTCTGGATGTTACCCCCTTTGGTGACATCCAGCGCCAGTGCAGCCCTGGGCACACAAACCGCATTCAGCAGCACAATCTCTTGGCTTGTTTCTGGCAGAAGCCCAGCTGAGATTTTAAATTCCAGGTTGAATGTGCACTTGCCCACAGGTTTCAAAAAAGAAAAAAAAAAAAAAAGCAAAAAAAAAAAAGCATCTTTTGGCTTAGGAGCAGAACCAGCCCAGTCTGGAATTTCCAGGCATTGAAATCATAAACAGAGAGCTGGCACTGACATTTGTTCCAGAACATAAGCAAGTTTTTAGATGTGATGACTGGGACTAGTATTTTTAACAAAGATTGTCTCGCTTTTGTATCATCTGTTTTTATTTACTACATTTATGCTATTAATGACTGGTTAAGATGAGTACCAAAAGCCCATATAGCCTTTCTTAACTCCTGCATCTATTAACACATAAGGAAGATCAAACAAAATCTGAAGAGTTCTAGACATCGACAAAATAAAATAAAGAGATCTCAGTTAACACAGGGAACGGTGAAGACAACCAATTCATTTGTAGTCTTGGGATGTATGTCATGAATGTCACTATTTTGTTCATGACAAGCTGAAGGAAGATACCTTTTTTAAGTGTGGAAATCCAGGTTAATGATGAAAACGGATCCAAGATTAAACACTTTTCGGTCTAGAAACTGCAATCCTTGTGTCTGTCTGTCTACATGTGTATTTAGAGAGTCTCGGGCATCACAGCACCTATGGAGTGATACTGTTGAGGGTATATTGTGCCCACCTGCTATTCCATTCCACCCTTTGCTTGCTCTCTTAACCTGCAGCAATGATTTTATTGATCGGGGGTTTTTCCAGGGTTTATCCGCTTCCAGCCTTCCCCCATACATATAGCAGAAGGAAGAGAAATGTTTTACATGTGTAGAAAATCCACATTTTCTTCTGAGTGCTGCACGCTCGGTGCACGTGTGCTGGCGGGGGTGTGCAAAGGTGGAATGTGGATGTCCCAACCACCGTCAGGATAATGTGAAATGGGGGGCCTCTACAATATCCCTGTAGGATGGGGAAAAGTAGAGAAGAAAAACATCATTTTTATTAGTTAAATGAGATTGGAGTGATTACTTTGCTTTAATATTGCAGCTCTGCTGCAAACTATGATTGAGAAACGCTCATCAGTAGTTAGCTGGAGTGGCTGTGGGAGAATCCTGCTGCGATATTTCATTTAATGATGCAGTGAAAATTCCCCTTCTTTTCAGATTTAATCTTTGGCATCTATGAGAGGCTATTGTTTGTTTTCCTTAGACCCAGAGAAAAACTTCTTCTGTGTCAGGGAAAGGTCCAGAAGTAGACCTCAGTGTCGTAGGTGATTTCAGGCTCTGAACTGGAGTCCTATGACATCCTTCAGATGAACTCCCCAGGGTGCAGAGTTACCAATACCCAAACAGAGAGCAAGCTGCAAGCCTGCCCTCCTCCTCTTTCACTTACCCCTCCACTCAGTCTCATTAGGCAAACGAGAAGCTTAATAAAAGCCACTTAAACTTGAGTAAAATCCTTCCTGCTTGTTGATATCAGCA